GTGTGTTTCTCTGGGTGAGTCAGCCAATTCCAGCATCCCTTGCTGTAAATTTAAACCTTTTGGGAACAAAAGCTTCTGCTTGGGAAGCTCCTGCTCAGATCATGAACAGAAGAGCTTTTCTGTGCAGTTCTAAGAATATTTTGATTTTTCTACTTAAGAATCAGCTTCTGAGAATTATGGATGTGATTGGTGGGCTTGAGAGAGACATAGATTTCATTGGCTTGGCCTTCACAGTTCTCCAGTTCTTCTTTCTTTCAGTATCTCAGGTTCCAAGAATTTCAAGGAATTCATTGAAAAGTCATTGACTTTGATAGTTTTAGGAAGACAGATTACTTAGAGCACCCTGCAGAGTTACCTCCTCTTTACCACATTTACCCCTCCTCATTGAGGCAGGATTGTGGGGTTGGCAATTGAGGGAAATATTTTCTACTAGAAACTTGGATTTTTAATGTTAAAAATACAAAATTAAATCCTATGTAATTCAATTTTTTCTTCAACAAAAAGGTCAACTGGAGAATTAGTAACTCTGATTAAAAACACAGCAAGCAAGGAAAGGGAGGAAGCAGTCTTTAATTATCTAAAGATAATTTTTAGATTCCTTTGTCTTGGCAATAACGTCACTGAAAAATTTGAAGAAACAACTGCAGAAGAATAAAAGTATTTTAAAAGACTTAGATTCTTGTTTTATTGAGGGACTGGAAGAAGTCCCAATTTATGTCAGACATGGTTCTCCTGAGAAGAAGAAACAACCTGTTGTTTGTCTCCAGTAAAACAGTTACAAATTTAAAAGCATCTTACAAGATTTGTCTATAGAAAGTTAACTAAAAGCTGCAGACTATTTCTTCTCTAACCCAAAGCAAAATGTTGTTTTTCTTAAGCTCTTCCTTTAATCTTCCAGAGTCACACTGTGGTGCACTTATGCCTTGTAGCATGGTAGTGGAGTCATTATGTGATAGCCATATTATAGTGCATCATTTGTATTTTTTAATCCTATTTATATTTTTTAATCTCTAACTACTTGACAATGAAACTGCAATGAGTAAATAGTTAAATGTTCTAAGTGCATAAGTGCATCTTTCACAGGTGAGTCACAGACAGAAGGGTTTTCTGTTTGAACAGACATTGAGCTCAGGCTATTTGTTGGATGCTTTCTTTATCATACTAACATCAGAAATGATTTGTGCTTTCTGCTGGATCATGAATGAAAAAACAAACTGAAAAAGCCAAGCAAGAGTCCGTCTTGCCAAGTGTATTGCTCTGGCACCAGTGTTTGGTTTTTGTGCTGGGGGTGTCTGTTCAAACCAGCAGTACTTATACAACATCAAAGTCAGACCTTGTGTGATGGCCCAGGCCTTTACAAAGACAGGTAGGAGGCAATTCAGTCCAATACCACCTGTTTATATGAAAGTATACACAGCACAGAACTGTGTCCCAGTAAGTATTATTGTGTGTATCCAGGTGTGTATTACAGGGTGGAGGACTGGTGTTTGGACAGACCTGTCACCTGTCCTGTGTGGAGAAAAGTAGGATTTCAAATGGTAATCTCATCTCCTGTTCAAGCCAGGAGCAGCTGTGTTGATGTCCTTTCTGAGAGACATTTGTTGTACCTGTATATAAAGATTTCAGAGAATCTTCAGGCCACTTCCCCTTTTCTGAGGTTTATGACTAACGATTATGCCTTAAAATATTTCTGAATATGCTCTGTAAGGTTGTGTTTAGCAGTACTGTCATATCCTTCCCATCAGTTTGACATCACAGTCTTCTCTCTGAAAACAACTTCTTCACTCTGTTTTCCTCAACTAAAAACCTCTTTCCTGGGAATGGAGGATAGAGCAGACCATTTTATTCACTCACGTTGAACTTTTTCTGTTGTCTGTGGCATCTTCTAAAAATTGATTATTTTGGTAGGTTTTGTTTTGCTTGGATGGCAAAAGAAATTTAGACCACTGATGCCATGATTCCATTAAACAAAAGTAAATCTTATCTAAAGTTTGTTTCTAGAGTGGTTTTTTGTGGGTTTTTATAATCATCCACTCTCTCTCAATCCCTTTAGAGGGGAGCAGGTACAAAGCTAAACTTTGTCTTTGTTTCAGGGAAAACTCAAGAAATCTCCAAACTATAAATGTCTTGGCTGTCAGGCTGAAGAATGTTGTTAGATGGATAGTCTTTGATTTAAATGTCTCTGCTTGGCCAAGAAAGTGAAGTTAGACTCCAGGTTCAGGCTCCTCTTGTGAAGCACTCTGACATTGGGAGGTTGGCCTGTTAGAGCTCCAGGATGGGGTGACTGCCTGGCTGTTCTCCTTCGCTGCAGTAGGAGTGGTGTCGCTCATGTTGTGCTACTGACAGATGGCTCGACACAGACAGGTTATTACAATGATCATCCTCCTATGTGGGGTGCATATGGATTCTGAGAGCTGCCATTCTCTCCTGCTATTTTCATGTCTTTTGCCACCTGGATTCTCAACTGACTGAGACACAGCTAGGCATGCACAAAGGGTTTTTTCTTCTTGCATGACATATGCAAAGCCCACCTCAGTTACAGAAGAACAGACACTGTGTCTGAAGGAAATCTGGTTTGCTGTGTGTGGGCATGTGTGAGCCCTAGAAGAGGAATTAATATAGCTAGTGAGATGAATGTTGAGTATGTGGTTGTTTACTCTTGGGCTTGACTTGGCATGATTTGTGATGGTATGACATGGTGTTCTACCAAGCTCCCTTCTATTACTCAGATTTCTAGTGCTTTTTTTCTAAAGTTGTTTTTGTTTTTTAAATAATAGTTTAAAGTAATAGGTTGTGAAAAGACCTTTGAAAATGTAGCCTCAGTGCATGGCAGTACAGGAAGGACTGGCTTGAAAAAGAGAGGGACTAAAAAGATACTCTGAGAGATCCATGACATTCCTGTTAAAGTTAACACATGGAGCTCAATTATCTATCAAGATAACTATGAATACTAGTCCTCCTCTCTATTTCACCCCTCTCAGAAGAGGCATGGAATTGATCTCACATCCTACCAGCTGTTCAGAGTCACTGTTCACTTTTGTACTGTTTGTGTCAAGTAAGGAAAGAGGTTGCTGTTTCCCATCCTTTCAGGCCAGTGTTTAAATTCCAATCTGGAAACCATTACTGAAAGACTTGGTAGCATGCAGCAATATATTCAGCTTTCCTGTGGAGACATCTGAATACCTGCAGAAACCTTGTTTGGAGCTCTGTGTGCAGTTAGAGGCTGATTTGTTTAGCTCCAATATTTTTGGAGACAGGGGTTTGGGGATTTTGCTTTTAATTTGTGCATCTGGGTAGGTTCTGAAGCTCACAGCTTTCACTGAGTTGAATAGGAAAGACTGTGTCTCATTCTCTTTGAGTTATTTGTTTATTCCTCTTTCATGATCCAAATGAGCCATTTGCTTATTAACTGCTCAATTTAAAATGAATTCGATATTTACACATTTACCAACCTTAAAATATTATTAATAACCTCTTGAATAATGACTTTTTAATGCTTGCATTCCATTCCCTAGCTACCTTTTCCTTTAAAAAGTGAATGAAAGTCAAGCAAGCAAGGGACAGTGACTTTGTAGGACTTCTACCAAGATATATGTGAGGAAGGCTTACTCTTAACATCTACTTTTAGGCTGCCTTTGGGAAATCAAATCTTAGAAGGCCAAGCTGGAATCAAGATTCAGCATGTCAAGTGTTGGGTATTTATAATTGCTCCTTGGAGACACCTAAATTAAATGTCTGAAATGTCTCTGTGAATGCCCCATGCTATGTCCCTCTTCTGTGTCTGCCAGTCTTTCCAGGAATCAGATGTTTCTTCTTGGTGATATGGCAAAGGATCATCTTTCTGCCAAGTTCCATTGGAATGTAATGGAGGAAATTAACTAAAGCATTTTACGATAAACTTTCTGAAAACAAGAAAATTCATATTTAAAGAAACTATAAATTATACTACCCCTGCATACAAGCATTGTTGATTAGTGTTCTTGTTGTAATTACACTTAATAGCAGTAGATTACTATGTCACTTGTATATTGCTTGGATTTTTTTCTATTAGAAACTGTTGCATATCCTGTAGAAATGCTCATATTCTTGTTGTTAACTAGGCTGTGAGGTCTAGTCCTGTTTTAAAGCTCATATAGATCGCAAAGTCCTAATGAAGTGATGTTTTAATTATGATGCGCAGGTATTTGTGATGTGAATCCCAGATTATATTCTTTTTTTCACACTGTGAGCATTTCCAAATACAAAACAAAATATGTCTACAGACAATGCAGAAGGATCTTTTTTGTATCTTAGAAACACAGGTAAAAAAATCTGTAAAAGTTTCCTTTGTGGAACAGACCAGCTGTGCACTTTTGTAAGGTGCATCTGATGTTGCAGTCAGTTTCAGGTTGAGCAATGTGCTGTACTTTCTGCAAAGAATGGCAACCTTAAATGGAAGGAACAGGAGTGTAAAATACCCATTGTATCTGTTTCAGTCAGCGTGACAGTAGTGACAAGTTCTCAGTGGCTGTCAGCATCCTTGTCAGCACGGAGCCGCCTTTGACATTGAAGTCCCCAGCCCAGCCCTGGTGCTGTGCAGCTCTATTGGCAGCTCCATCAGGCTGCAGCTGATGGGAGAATGTCAGAGCCTGCCCTCTTCTCCTGGTGTGTGGCCAGCCCTCTGTGTTTGCAGGCTGGCCTTGCCTGTTATTTGATCTTGCTGCACTCTTCACCAGCTCCCCTGGGGGAGATGAGCAGATAGGTCAGTGGGGTGTGGGTGTCTTCAGGGCAGCACACAGCCCCAGCCAGAGTGACTTGCATAAAGGTTTGTAACGATTACCATTTCTGTAAGCCAATCAATGGGTAAAGTACCCAGAGACTCATTAAGTGGCATTTGAGGCACCTGTAAAAGAATTTTGAGCTGTATTTCAAGAAATGTGGTGACAGCCTTTAATGTCTAATTGACCTCTTCTCTTTGTTTCACTTTCTGTATTTCCTTCTGATGTGTTCCCCCGTGGCAGCAAACAGCCCTGCTCAGTATCTTGAACTTCTGCTCGGAGCTGCAGCACCTCAGCCTGGGCAGCTGCGTCATGGTGAGTGACCATTCAGAGTGTGGGGGGATTGTGTTTGTGTGTGTGTATCTGTGTGTGTGTGTGTGTCTGTGTGTCTGTGTCTGTGTGTGTCTGTGTGTGTGTGTGTGTCTGTGTGTGTCTGTGTGTGTCTGTGTGTGTGTCTGTCTGTGTGTGTGTGTGTCTGTGTGTCTGTATGTGTGTGTGCACTCGCTTTGGACCCAATCTGGCTTTGTTTCACAAAGCTGTGTTAAATGTGAGGTTTATACAAGACTCTACTCTTTTGGAAGGTCCAAGATGATGCAGCTTGGTCATATATGTAAGGGTTATGAACTAAAGTAAAGCTAAGTAGGCCTAAAATGGCTTGTAGGCTTTCTCAGAGTTCTTCAGCCTTTTTCTAAGTTTTTGGGTATTCTCTATATGTGTAATCACTTAACAAGTAATTAATAAGACTTTCATAAGGAGATGCAGCAACTGATCAACTTAAAATGGAAATGAGTACTTCAATCATTCTTCAGTAGTTGCACTTCCTGTGGTCATAAAAGCTGTTATAATCATCTTCAAAGGGGAAAACAACTGCGCAAAATAAGTTTCTTCAAAGAAACAACTTCTGCTGTGGTTTGATCCTCAGTATTAAAAGCAGCTGAGTCTGGGGTTTATAAGAATTTAATTTTATTTTTGTCTTTTATAAAAGTAGATCTCACTGTACCATGCAATGAACGATTTTTAGAAATGACAAATGCTTGAGCCAGATGCGTTATGTGTGTTAGGAAGCAAACCTTGAAACACCTCTGTATGTCTGGAACGATGCTGCACATGACGGAGCGTCTGCTTTCCTTGCAGATTGAAGACTATGACCTTATAGCAAGCATGATGGGAGCAAAATGCAAAAAGCTTCGCAGTCTGGATTTGTGGAGATGTAAAAACATAACAGAAAGCGGGATCGCGGAGTTGGCTTCGGGCTGCCAGCTTTTGGAAGAGCTTGACCTTGGTTGGTGTCCTACGCTCCAGAGCAGCACAGGCTGCTTCACAAACCTTGCACGCAAACTGCCCAACCTGCAGAAGCTCTTCCTTACGGCCAACAGGTCTGTGTGTGACACTGACATCGAGGAGCTCGCTGCCAACTGCACGCACCTACGGCAGCTGGATATACTGGGTAAGAGAAGGGGGAGTGCTGGATTTGTTTTACGGTGTCTTTAAAGCCTTTCAGCTAAAATGGAGTCCTTAGTACCAAACTGTGTTCCAGACATATTTGTTAAATAATTATTTCTTAAAATTATGGTTTAGCATGTGAAAAAAAGGAGAGACGTTTAGCTCACTGCATGATTTCTGACTCAGAAGCCAGTGGATTTATACCAGCTGTGTAATTTGACTGCTGAGTATAAATTCCTTAAACTGGAATTTAAGTGCAACATTTTTTTCCACTAACTTTTATTTTCATGACCATCAGCTTTTTTAACTGAAGCCTTTCTCTTTTGATTATCAGAAGATGAAATTTCTTATAATTCTTTCTACTTTTGTTTGTATTTTTATTTCTTTGAAGTGTGACAAAGTATATTTATAGCATGAGTCTGTGATCAATAAACATTTTGCTTTTGTGCAATAAATATTTGTTATGTATTATATAATATATGTTATGTACTATGCAATACTGAATTTCTTCATCACTTTTATTGGTAAGTGAATTTGAGTTATTAAAAATGAAAGGGTAATTAAAAACAAAACCTAAATAGACTTTCTAGTAAGGTGGGAAGGAAGTGATGGGGGGTCAAAAAGCATAGCAAATCTGAAATTTCTAATCCTCTGCAGTTTCCATAGTTGAAAATATTTTTAGAGATCTAAAGTAAATATACTTTGAACTCTTGAGTAAGGACTTTGAGAAGTGTAGTTTTGTGTGATGCTGAATTTATTCTTTTATGGTGGCATATGAGGTTTTCTTTTTATAATAATGTAGGACAGCAGAGATGTTTGTGACATCAGTGTGGGAGAAAATTCTTCATGGTTTTACCAACTTAGTTTCACAGGATAGCTGAAAAAGGAATATTTAAATGAAAGGGAATAAAGTAGTTGCTCTGTATACTTCTAATGTTTAATAATTGTAATGAAAATATTACATTTAGGTTGAGAGGGATACTGCACAGAACTGAGAGCATCAACATGGATAATTTTCCAAGCAAGTTTAAGGATTTATTCTTATCAGCATTTATAATTTCAAAGTATTTACCATATGGCTTCAGATTGACATTCCAGTACACTCTTCAGTAATGATGAAGTGTTTTACTCACTTCTGACTGAGAGACTTGCCTTTGGACCAATGTGGGAAAGACAGATGAACAGAAAAAACCTGAACTCCACGTAGTTCAAGCTGTAGATATGTTTATGCCCCCCAGGGGTACTGTGTTTTGTGTATCTTTAAGAGAATCTGCTCTGCAGCTGAATTATCAGGGGCACACTGCCCTGCTCAGACACGAGAAGTTTCCAAATGATGTAGGGAATGAAGTCTCTAAGAAGCACTTGGCTGCCCCTGACCACCCACTTGCATGTGCTTCTGTTCCCATGGCCTCGTGTCTGCCCACAAAGTGCTCAGACCTCCTTTCTGCACCAGGGGCTCCCCAGAGAATAGTATGGCTGTGTTGAACTCATGGATCGTCTGTTACTGCTGTTGCCTGTCTGACAGCAGGGAAGGCTTGCTGCCACATTTCTTTAGTGTTTGAATTCAGATTTTAATTCAGTTGGACATTCTAATGATTTTTTTTGAAAAGTAACATGAAAGTGGAAGAGGAGTTTGTTCTGTTCCCTGGTGCTTACCAATATTTCTGAGTCAGATGGATTTGTAGTCAAACATTTCCTGTGAGATTGCATGGTGTGTTCACATAAATCTCCTCTAGAGGATATCCAGTTGAATTTCCTGCAAAATTAATAATCTGCACAAAATTATTTCTTTCTTCCTTCAGAGAAATACTTGGTAGGGTGAAAAAAGGTTGTCCTTTGCTGTAAACAAGTCAGTACCATGTGATATTCGCTATGTATGGGAAGGACTTACCCTGCTTTTTTGACAACAGTTGAGGAAACTCTGTTAATTTTTTTTTGTCTGAATGTAGTAACCACTGCAGTCTATGGTTACAAGAAAGAGCTGTCAAGTAGAACCACACTGTGTCATCTGGAAGTAGAGTTGCCAGGTGTTGCCATGTCAGTGCAGAAGTCTCTGTTGTCTGAACTAAAGAGCGAGTCTCTCGCTGTGCAGGAGTACCAAGGAAGTCACAAATCTCTGAATGTGCTCTTGCTTTGGGCATGTGATACAGGGCCACCCTGTTACTTTAAGCTGCATGAATGTGTAGTGTGTTTTTGTCCTTCAGTAGAAGTGTGACAACAGGGCTGAAGCTGTAAGAGGTCAGAGCTCAGCTTTGCAAGAGTGACCTTGAACAGTGGGTCTTCTCTGTGATGTGAAGGAATGAGAGGTGCTCTCATTATATCCTTTGTCATCTCCCAGGTAAAGAAACGTCTGGCTTGCGTGTGCATTGTGAAGGGTGTAGAGGTATTGCTGCTGGGTTAGCACTTTGTGCTGTAAGGGAACTTCTTTTGCTTCAACAAAGCTGTGTAAAAGCGAGGTTTTTTCCTGCTTACAAGCACTTAGCTAAGTAAGGGTCAGAATGTCTTCCCTTCACTGCAATCACCAGTGTTCAAGGTACTATATTAGTGTCTCTCTTTAGTTGTTAGAACTTATAAACTTGACAGAGAAAACTTCTTGTTTCAGTTATAGGTTATTTTTTTTTTTTTTTATCATCACGATAGCTTCAGGGGTGGAGTAGTCTAAGCCTCTGAAAGAAATCTTGTTGAACTGTAAGGGATGAAAAATGTACGTTATATATAGCCTGGATGCTGTTTGAAGGTGATAGGTCCTGAGGCTTGCTACCCATCTGTCCTTTACCATAATTGTTTGATAATTTCCTTGTTACAGAGTCAGAGGACTCTGTGAAAGATGAAAACTGCTGGTTTTCAAGGACTCTGTATACTTACTGGCCCATGTAAAGCATTGTTGGATGTCAGGCTGTGTTTGTGCTGTGTAAAACATAGAAAGTAAATTTCTGTTAAAAAAAAGCATGTGCTCGTCCATATCTGCTGTATCATAAGTTTGGAAGAGGAAGCGTGGTGTGTGTCATTGAATGCATGAGGATGTGCTTCTCTTGAACTTTCAGTTCTGAGCTTTCTTTTACCCACTACATCCTGAACTGCCTGCTTACAAGTATCATTTCCTTCTCAGCCCACATCTTTTTTGCTGAGTGACATGGCATGTTTCCACCCTCTGTCAGAATGATCCAGCTCTGATCATCTGACGGTTCTCTAGTGACGCAGTACATCAGCCAGTGCTATCAAAAGTTAAGTGGACACCTCTAGACCAGTAGTTAAAAAACCAGTCTTCAAACTGTGATCAGCATTGAGCAATGTGACAAGTCAGATGGCAACCTGAATTGACAGTGTCAAAAGCGTTTCTTGCACATCACATCAGCTGCTGAGTTCTCTTCCTGTGGGGTTCTCAGCTGCTGTCAGGGGTGGAGAGTAAATGGTATTAACCTCGCTCCCCAGAAGGTCCAACTGCTCTGTCCTGCACAAAAAGAGTAATGAAAAGTAGACACCCTCGTTACCACAAAATTCATGTATTCCTAGCTACATTCCAACACCTCCCACACCTTCCTGAGCAACAGAAAACCCAACTGCCCCCTTGCCAGCTGTCAAAGTTTTCAGCTTTATCTTGAGAACATCAACACGTAGTTAGTCAATTCAAACATGAAAATGTGTAGCACATTAAAATTTTGAATTTGAGTTGTGTGCAGTAGATTGGATAAAATGTAAAGAATAAAAGGCTAGTTTGGCTGGTCTAGGGAAATAAAGGTAAGAAAAGTAAGAATATTTGAGGGAAGAGTGCTAGTTATTTTCTAGAGTTGGTACTCTGAAATATTATTTGGTGTGTAGTAGTGTCTCTTGCTCTAGAAATTTGGGTTCTACAGTTTTTATAGCTGTCCTCACAGGTCTCCTAAACAGCTGTAGAGTTTGAAGGCTTTGATATATGATGGATATAAATTAAATTATTTACAGCTAATAAGCATAATTGTTCGAGCAAAGAGATCATTACTCAGAGGTGCCTTTTACAAGTGTGGTAACAGAGAATTGACTGAGCACCAAAATTAAATAGCAGATTTTAATGCTTTGGTTATGTATTCTAAAAAATGGCTGATTAGTCTATGGAGGAGAAGTTACAGTAAATAATAAAGGTCCAAAAGCCTCCAAACTCTAGAAGAAAAATGCTCTATGTAAGTAATTAACTAGCAGGCTACATTGCCAGTCTTTCAAAAGCAAAGGAAAATGTGCTGTATTAAAATTCTGAAATGCTTTTGAATGGGCTTATAGGATACATACATAACTAACATACATAACTAACTGTACATTGTATAAATAAAAGTAAAACTACAGATGATGTGCATTTATCCTGTGGTGTGAATAACCAAACCCCAACTGGATTACTTGTAGAAAAAGGTATTTCCTAACATAAAAATTTAATTCTGAGGAGGGGAAAAAACCCAGGTGCAATAAAACCTGCAATTTAGGATGACCTACTTAGTTGCAAATCTATTAAAAGTCTTGGATGAAATGATAGGAGAACTATCAAAGTTCAGGTAGGAAGGAATGAAGAACATCCTACACAAAAAATCTGTGGCTAGGCATCTAAATCTAGAATTTTTGTAGAAATACACGTTTGGATCTTGAAGCATAAAAGCTGTGATGCATAAATGAGGCTGGGTTTAGATGAAGGTGCTGATGTAGTAGCAATTTTAAGGCTTGGTGGAAAAAAAGATAAGTAGCATAATGTGTTGGTCCTAGAGTTGCATTTGGAATGGTAGAGCAGGTCCTTATGGTAGAACAGTGATACTGTGGTAAAGTGTGTGGTCAAATGAAGTGAAGAAATAAAGCATGGTACAGAATTTCTGTGGAAAGCTTCAGGGACTGTTGCATGAACCACCAGGCAGTTCTGATGATGGTGATTATATAATGTAAGGGAGTTTAAAATCACAGTGATAATGACAAGCTTAGTCTCCGTACAGGAGATAAAATCTGGGGGCATGATAGCAAAGACTGTCCTTGGGTAATGTTCAGTAATGCCTCAAAGCAGCTAATCTGAGAGCCTGACAAAGGATAATTGGAGACCACATTCAGATGCCTCCTTGCTTATGCAGAACAGTACTGGAGACTAATGAAACCATCCAGAGTCTTTCTGAAATTGAATCCCATTCAGAGAATGAAAATAGGAAGATGAACTCTAGAAAGAGAAGCAAAATCACAGTAAGGCAGGATGAAGTACTAAGGAACCCCTGGCTAGAGGTGAAAGATACTGTACTTCAGCTGTGTTACAGGTTCACAGGAGTGGCTGGGCTCAGTAGACAGTCCAGGTGTGAAGGCTCCCCCCAGTGCAAGGCTATTGCAGGAGAGCTGTTGTGTGTCCCTTGGTGTTCATGGCAGAGGGGATCAAGCAGGCTGCTACATCAGAGCCATTCTTTCCAGGAGATTAGCCTGGAAAGCTGCCTTAAATTGGAATGCCAATACAGAAAGCTTTTGAACAAATCAATACATTGAACAATAATAAATTGTTAGGACTAAATGGTATTTATGCAGTGATTCTAAATTAGCTCAAATACAGGGCTCTGGAGATCTTATTTCTGGTGTGTGATCTGTCTCTTAAATCAGCCTCAGTGCTAGAGTAATGCAGGGTTACAGACATGGCACAGCCTTCTGTAAAGGGCTTGGATTAGGAGCTACAAAACAGTAAGATCATATTTTTTCTCTGTGTAAACCAGTGGCAGCCATGAGAAGGTCAGTAAGTGGGCATACAGAGGATATTACCATATTTAGATGAAGAGCTGCATCCCAGCAAGGGTAGTATTGGCTTTGCCTCTCATTCTTTAAACTTCCTTGAAGTTCTTGGTGAATGTGAGCACTACTGCAATCCATAAAAGATTGGATTTTCAAAAACTTCAGCCAAGGTTGTGCTGCTTTTAAGACAGACTTATCTGTCTTTTCCTGGATTATGAGTGTTTCAGAGGACAAGGATGTATCATCTCTTTTCACAGTGAAGTTATGCCACTACTTTGGTCACCAAGGGTCTGTTCTGATCTGCTTATAAGTAATCCAGGCAGAGGGGTGAATAATGCCAGAGGGTAACACACAGGTATTCAGGATGGAAAAATCTTAAACTGAAGAATTTAACACTGAAGAATGGCAGAATGATCTTGTGATACTTATTAAACAGGTGATAAAGCAGGAAGAAAACATTGAATCAAGTACAAAGTAGTCACATGAGGCAAAATAACATCAACTAAATATATAGGGGACTGGATTTATATTAGCTACTGTTTTGTAGAAAAGATATCATGTGGACAATTTTTGGAAAACATCAGCTCATTGCCCAGCATCATTCTAATGGGAATAGAGAAAATTAGGGTTATTTAGACATGAAATGAAAAAAACACCATAAGACTTACTATACAATTACTGACTGTGTGCTCAGTGCACTGTAGGTGCACTGGTCATTTTGAGATGCAAGGGAGTCTAGAAAACAGATGGCCTTGGGGGAACAGAAGAGATGTGCATGGGAGTATGCATGATTTAGAAATACTGAATTGGGAATGATCTCATGCTTCTTTAATTGCACCTTAATTATTGCAGCTAATAGGCTGGAGTTTTTTGTTTGTTTTTTCTCCTTTTTTTTTTTTGGCATTATGTAGTTAAACTGTGGAACTTGTGAAGGGGCTGTAAATATGAAGAAATTCAAAAAAGTAGTAGAATTCATGGAAGATAGCTTTAGTAACCCTAAAATTATAATTTTTGGCAATTGACAAGATTCATCAGTGAAAATCTACTTTAAAAAAATCTGCTGCTTTTTTTGCAGGGGAGGTAAAGAGTGTAGGGAACATAATTGGCCCTGGCACTAGACAAGATCCTGAACTAGATGGCTTTTTGGGGTGCTAGTTAGATGAAGATGGAGCTGTGTGAGTTCAAGTCTGCCAGCAGTTTTCTGCAGTAGTGTTGGATATATAAACTCTCTAGAGGGAAAGCTTGATGAGCAGTTTAGCTCACTGTAGACACCCAGGCTCTGTTCACTTGCCCAGAGTACCCAGCCAGGCTTCCAGCCTTTCCTGTAAGGCATGAGTCTCCTCCTCTGGGTCCAGTGTCCTGTGTGCCAGCTGTGTGTGCATGTCCTGCATGGTGTAAGGTCCCCAAGGGGCACTGAGCACCTCAGACAGCTGACTCACACCCCAGAGCCCAGTCTGATGGGCCAGGTGCTAAGCACCATGGACTGGACTGTCTGCATGCCCATCATCTGTAATGGGTGTGTGGATTTGTGCTTATAAATGTAGATTTATTTATTTATTTCTGACTGACTCCTATGCTTGCTCTGACCCTGTGTGGCACTTGGGAGTTCAGTCACTGTGGTCTTGTTTTTGGCAGGGTTTATGTGTGTTTTATACATACATTTATGTATGATCAGCAGTCTCTTGAATAACTGCCCCTGCATGTGTGTAATACCCAGTCTTGCTCTGAGCCCTGGGAGCCTTGCTGATGCCTTTGGAATTGGAATAGCCCCCAGTCACTCATCTGCTGTGCTGATGGTCTGTGTGCTCAACAGGAGAGCATGGCTACGGCCTTCCATGCTGCTGCCTAAGCCCAGCGTTGGTCCCTGGGAGGGCTTGTGGCTCTGGTTGCCTGGCTTCTCTAGTAAGAGATTCCCCTTGAAGCTGTAAAGTTGCCCCCCAATAGGAAATGACAGTGACTTAAGCAGTTAAAGAAAATACATTAGGCTTTTTAAAGGTAAAAGGTCTATGTGCTCTCTAAGAAGCTTTTAATTTGAAAACTCTTTAAATAATCTAGATAAAAGTTGTGTCGTAGTAGCATTTTTTCATGACACGATAGTAACAGCTTAAAATCCTGCACTTTTCTTGGTAACTTTACAATTCTGTTTTGTTTTGTTTTTGAACAGGAACGAGGATGGTGAGCCCTGCATCTTTAAGAAAATTGCTGGAGTCTTGTAAAGATCTTTCTTTACTCGACGTGTCCTTCTGTTCACAGATCGATAATAGAGTTGTGCTAGAACTGAATGCCAACTTTCCTAATGTGTTCATAAAAAAGAGTTTCACCCAGTGACTCCCTACATATGCTGCTGTGGAACTCGTTTGACAGAGTTGTTTTCCTGTAAATTTGTGCTGATTTTTTATTTTAAGGAGAATATAAATCTGCTATAAAATAGTGGAAACTATTAATTATCTACACAAATGGGTAAAATACATTTAAATGTATTATGTTTCTTTAAGTTGATATTGTACCTAAGAATTATTTTGCTCTGTTAATTGGTGGCACTGCATGTTTTTAAATACTAGCCATATGTCTGGCTTTAATGAGAAGCAAATGAATGTCTTCTTCAATGTCCCTTCACAGGGTGTTATACACAATACACTGTGTTAATATCCAGGTGAAAGCAGAAGTTCAATATTTATCAGTAAGGAAAATATGGGTGCTTCCTTTTCATGTGTTTGTGTGTGTATATATAAATGTATCCATATGTATTTGTATATACATACACAGATATTGTAGCATTCTAGTTTGACCTGCATCATAAGATTTTATCATCTGGCCTATAATTAGTTATTTGAAAACCAGTTTAAGTGTGTAAAAGAACAGATAGAAAAAGCTCTTTGTCTTCTTTGAGTTTTGGCAGTGAATTGTATCTGCTAGAGTTTTCTCCCTTTCTTCACCTGAAATAGATGTAGTGATGTTTCACAGTCCAGCCTAAGCAGCACAACAGATAAATGCAAGAAAGAACCTGGACCACCTGAACTTAGAGCAGAAATGCAAGATAAAATTGACAGCTGCTTCTTGGTATTGAGATACAAAGTTTAAGCCAAGTACTTAGATGTTATAACTGGTGATTTGTAGAAAACTCCAGGGTAGTTTCCTTTTCAAATTTCTGTCATGGTCAAGACTTTATTTGCTATAATAACGTCTGGTTATTGTGCAGAGTACCACAAAAAGTAGAACTTAGGACAGTTGCTAACACATTATCCTTTCTTTCACTGGCATCAAATCTGCTGTCAGGTGTAAAAACAAGCATCCTCATTCAGTCAAACAGCAATGAAAATGTAATGGGTTTGAAACAAGGGCAATACAATTTGATGATTTCATAATTACCAAACCTTATTACTGGATTTTTTTTTTGTTTGGGTTTTTGTTTTGTTTTTCCAAGAGGAGAGTAGCTCAAAGTACTATTGCACTCTCTTTAAGACTGCTTAACCTCTGGAGAAGGAAAACTGTGTTGATGGACAATTTCTGGAAGTTTCTTCCTTTTGCACTTTCTTGGATGAAGCTTTTCTCTTTTTTCCCCTTGAATACCACTGCTAGAGTATGTTGCTCTGTACAGCTTTGGTTTAGAATTTTACCTTTTTAGCCATTGTTGATGCATATGGACCATAAAATATAGGCTGTCTTTTGATACTGATTCTGTTATTCTTGTATTGATGGCACTTACTATCTACTGGAATAAGAGGAAAAATACTTTGTCTGAGAGAAGTACAGTATTGTACTGAAGATCAGTGACAAAGAACACTTCAGTTCATGCAGTAAATAACCAACTGCTACGAGAGGACTGCTGCAAATCGTTAAAAATCTGACAATCTCTGTGACTCCTGAATGACTGCTTTGAACTCTTTGTGCTGGTGCCAATACTTTATAAACCATGTCATGAAACAGCTACAGAACATTTATCTGATTTTATTGAAAGACCTAGTTCTTCAGATTTTTAATTTTGCTGAATCTCTTGGGAATTCCAGATCCAAAGAAGGGCATGCACAGTTGGCTTTTTGATTTTTTTCCCTCCACACAGATGGCACTATGGGATTTCCAACTAGTTTATGCCATTCCATTTTTTTTCTTCTTTAGAAATCTGAACATTGTCAGAGAACTTTAAATTGATTTGCTTTTTTTTCCGTACTGAAAGATGACAGCTTTTGTATGATTCTCTGTGAAACCTCATTTCTCTCAATCATGTTTGGGTTCATTTGTTTTCTGTGAACTTGTAACTTTTTTTAGTCTATATTTTTCATTGTAATTATTAAACATTATTATTCTAGTTACATAAGAACACAGGTACAGATAATGGGAGTTTACAAAGAACAGAGTTCAAAACAAATGTATTTGTTGTAAAATTTCACTTCTCAGGGGTTGTTCTGTGTTTATCTCCTTCTTTTTCTATAGAGATCTGTTTTGTTTGTTTTTCACTGTAAACAGAGTGGGATGTGGATGAAGTGATAGCCATTGTGCCTTCAAACTGGTAAACTTGGTAGATAATAGAGTTTTTCTCATCACTGAATCAAATAAGTGTTTTTGTAATCACATACGTGTAAAGAATTTCATTCTCTGTTGCTTTTTAGGTAAAGAAGGTTTAAATTGAAATTTTGTTCACACTGGAAGATTTTTTCTTTCTTATGTTGCATGTTCTGTTGGAAAATGTTTTTTTCAGGAATTCTCTATTGTCACTTGGAAGATAAATTGAAGTTGACTTTTTATTTGGATTGTTTAAAATTTGGCTATTACTGACATATAATTAATTCAAAGAGCAGAGAAGTGATTGGGAATGACTTCCATCTATAGTTGTAGTCTTCAACCTTCAATCAGAGAGTAAGAAGCTCTTTTAGCTATGGCCTTATAAGTCCAAGAAGTCTTCCAGCTAAACAAAGTTAGACCAGACTTGACATTTGTAATACTTGTAGGATAAAGAAAACAGCTTGCTCTTAGACCTTCCCTGTATGTCACAGAGAAGCAAGAATAGGCCACTGTCTCTTTAGTTCTGCTATCTTATACTTAAGTGTGTCTATTTATTTATGTATATGTATGCATAAATTATATATATACACACGTTCGTGTGTTTATATGAATTCTTTTGGATATGTGTACATACATAAACATATATGTATAAATCTCAGAGTTTTCATGTAGGAATTACTTTTGTAAAGTGAGTGTAATAGAAAAAGGGTGTTTCATAGCAGTTCTGCTTTCAACTATTGCTTTACTCTACCTGGAGACTGAGTTCATCTCTACCATGCAGCAGGAAAAGCCTGGACAGATGTGCTGAATTTCCAGTGTTGCTTTGCCAAAGTGCCTTTTGGTTTGTCTGCTCATGAAAGGGGTTACAGGGTATGAAGAGTGAATGCAAAGTCTGATAACTACTGTGGACTGTCTCCTTGCAAAGCAGTCACATAGAGGGAAACTTATGTTCTAGTTTCATTTAATCCAAAATGAATGCTGTCAATTCCTTCACTGGAGGAATTTAATTACTCTTGAATTGGGTCTCATCTCCATCACTAGTCTGCACCTCAGTCATGTTATCTAAATTCTGCTGTTAAGGATATTCCTTTTTTTAATCCTGTTGTTTGGTTATCTGTCTTTCTGAAGCTTTGTAAAAGATATGCTTTGGCAACAAATGTTAAAAAAAATGGCTAACGTCCAAAAAAAGGGGTGTACTCTGAACTGCTCCTGTTTTTAAGCTAAAGGGGTCTTCTATACCCCCTGTATGAAATTGATGTGGGATGGCCTGTTGGTAAAGATGTAATTCCTTGGGTAATTTAACAATAAAATAAATAATAAAACACAAAAACTAGTATGATAACTTTACCATTTAAAGCATCTTCTTAACTCTTCAGGGATTTAATTCAGTAGTGTACTTACTTGTGTTCATAGTTTTTAGCTGTCTGGCTGCATAGCGCTATGAAATGGATGGGGTTTCTGTTCTTTAAATTATATACCTGATTAAGTCCATTAGTGAGCATGACTTGTATAGAACAATTTTGCATGGGAGTTTAGGCCTTATAATCCCCCATATACTTGGAGGCCCAAGTTTCAGACAAAAAACCATAAGTGAACAAACAAACAACAAAACCTCCCAAAACCTTTGTATTTCCTTAGAACTCTCATGCTAAGTTCCCCAGATATAAGATGCCCAGGAATCATGGTACACAGTGAGTAGAATTCATCTCCCTGAATGTAGTTCTCTGAAAGTTAGACATCTACTTCATGGGAGGAATCTGGGCTCCTCTAGAGAGTTATTAATCTCCTAAGGCAGACATTTCAGGAAAGTAGAATGAATCATGTTCTAGAGAGCCTCTCTGGAGACTGTGGAAGCTGTGATTTAGCTCAGGTTAGATACTAAACTGAGATTAATTCCATCCAGTGCTGTACTATCTGTCTTGAAAAACAAGACTGAAACAACATCCATCCTTAAACCTTCAAACCCTCCAAATTCCATCCAGAGAGAACCAAAAATCCCCAGAAATTCTGAGGAGGAAACCTTGAGGAGTTTTCTTAATGACAGGATCTGCTTCTGCCCCTTGCTAATACCTGTGGTATATAATTTGTTTTATGTTATCAGTTTATTTGGCTTTTGGGTTTGGGTTTTTTTGGAAATGCATCCTCTTTTCCAAAATCTCATATACCTAACTGGCTGTATGTATAGTTCTGTAAATGCTTGAACAGGCAAACATAATTAATGTATTGCCACTATTTTGATAATCTTTCATATTGCTATAATTAAGACTGAGTAGTTTAACTGCTCTACTGTCATCAGAAATGTCACCCACTGTGCATTTGCAAAAATTGTGTGCTGAGTCCTGGTTCTTACTGTGTGTACTTATTGCATCTTTTGGGATATATTTCCCATGTCACATCAGCAGGACTGCTAAATTTACAAAAACTAAATAAAATGTAGCATTTTATTATGAGGACTATAGGAATGACTTTATATAGATGATTTACATGTTCATTGCTCTTTAACAATGATTCTGTAAGTTGTAGCTTTGGAAATGACTGGACTAGAAATCCCTGGTTTAATGCACCTGCACTTGCTGTGTCAGATGCAGCCAGCGTTTTTTCCCAAATGAAGGCATTAGTCCTTCACTGAGATGATGATTTCTGTGATTTTTAGATATCTGACTTGACAATGAAGTGCAAGAAGGTGCTCTTTAATAAAAGTTACCAGCACAGGACAAGTTGTGATAAGTGACATTTGGAAGGGCTGAGAAATGGGTGCTGCATGTTACAGATCCTCAGGAGCTTCAGAGAAATGCATCAGCAGGAAGAGTCTCATTAAGAAGATTCAGCCTCTGTAATGGGAGGCAGTGGTGAGATTTTCCTTTACAACTAATGGACTAAATACTTTTGTTTGAGTTACATAGCTCTGGTTTTTCCTTGTCTTGTTTTCACTTAAGGTTGGTAAATGGCACAGAGTTAGGACAGATGTCCTAAACTGAAGGGCATCCATTGTGAGGAATGAAGTTTTTCTGTTGCATGTTTTGTTCACCTTTTCTAATAATAAAAGAATAAAAATACCCTTAACTATTTGAAAACTCATTTTCCCTAGATTCTGAAGAAATATAAATGTCAAGAAGATTGAGGAAAGAAAAAAGGGAACTTATTCAGATTTATTGGGAAACTCATGGAAGGGTAGCCAGAGCTATTTATAGATGTGAGGAAAGTAAGTGCCTTGCTCTAGATCAGCTCTTCAGCTCTACCTTTCCCAGAAACACAGCTTTCCACATAGTATCACATGCTCATACTTCTAAATCAAGATTTACCATTTAGATGCTCTTAATATTGACCTTTCATGTAAATGTTTGTGCAGTAAGTCAGAATGTCTCTGTTTCGTTTTTATCAACTACATAAAAATATTTTTTTCTTTGCCTACCACTGTGAATTCATGTTTTTTGTTATTTATTGAAACTATTTCACACATGTACACGCAGATACATGTAAGACAATTGCTCAGATTTTTTGCAATGAGTCCTTTTCTGAGAACAAACTGCAGTTTGGGGGTAAAAATGGTAAAGTCTCTGGAGAAGGTTCAAGGGAAATCTGATCAATGTATTGAAATATCTGATGGAGGGAAAGAATGAAGAAGAGGGAGCCAGATTCTTCTCAGTGATGCCCCTGAGCAGGACA